TCTTGCGTCGCTGGCACTCGTGGCATGATCGTGTGTATAGGTGGACGGTCTTGGGGAGCTTGGGCCAGTAATACTTTTCACGAATACGGGCCAGTGTCCGGCTGTAACCGAGGTGTCCGGACGTCGGGTCGTCGTGGCAGGCTTGGAAGATCTCCTCTCGAAGGTCACTCGGGATTACCAGCAGCCACGGCGAGTTACTGTCCCCAAAGTTCTCTTTGCAGAGTACACCTTGTCGAATGGCGAAGGTCGGCAGGGTTCGTGAGAAAACACGGGGCACGGTACTCCCGCGCCCTTCCAGGTGCTGAATTAATGCGCGGAGCTCAGGATCGTTTCGTTGACGTCGTGCCAGGTCGTCGTTGGTCACTGCTCCTAGGAAGCACTCGTCGTCATTGTCGTCGCTGCTGCCGGAAGGTGTTTCGACAGGGGCCCTGGACAAGCAGTCGGCGTCGCTGTGCTTGCGGCCTGACTTGTAGACTACAGTCATGTTGAACTCCTGTAGTCGGAGACTCCATCGAGCGAGGCGTCCTGAAGGGTCCTTGAGGTTCGCAAGCCAGCAGAGCGAGTGGTGGTCTGTGATTACGCGGAACGGGCTCCCGTACAAGTATGGGCGGAACTTCGTGATTGCCCAGACGACCGCAAGACACTCCTTTTCAGTCGTGGAGTAATTTCTCTCCGATTTGGACAGCGTCCGACTTGCGTAGGCGATGACTCGCTCGGTTCCTTCTTGCACTTGAACCAGTACCGCTCCAAGTCCTGCATTACTAGCGTCCGTGTGAATCTCGGTTTCCGCATCCTGATCAAAGTGTCCTAGGACAGGAGGAGTCTGGAGTCTTCGCTTCAGCTCGTCGAATGCCTGCTGCTGCTCCTCGGCCCATTCGAACTTCTGGGCGTCCTTCGTGAGGTTTGTGAGCGGTGCGGAAATCCTTGCGAAATCCCGAACGAAGCGTCGATAGTAGGCACAAAGTCCGAGAAATCTTCGCACGGCCTTCTTGTCTTTCGGCGCTGGGAATGCCGCGACGGCGCGAGTCTTCTCGGGGTCTGGGCGGACGCCTTCGTTACTAACCACGTGGCCGAGGAACTTCAGTTCGTCATAGGCGAACCGACACTTTGACGGCTTCAGGGTGAGTCCGGTGCTCCGTATGGCTTGGAGAACTGCTTGGAGTCGTCGCAAGTGCTCGTCGAAGTCGCAGGAAAACACGACGACGTCGTCGAGGTAGACGAGACAGCTCTGCCACTTCAGCCCTGCCAGCACTGTGTCCATGACACGCTGGAAAGTTGCTGGCGCCGTGCACAGTCCGAAGGGCATCACTTTGAACTCGTACAGTCCATCCGGCGTGACGAAAGCTGTCTTTTCTCGGTCCCGTTCGTCGACTTCGATCTGCCAGTAACCGCTCTTCAGGTCCATCGATGAGAAATATCGAGAGTGGCGCAGCCGGTCAAGGGTGTCGTCGATGCGGGGGAGTGGGTAGACATCTTTCTTCGTCACCGCGTTCAGCTGCCGGTAGTCCACGCAGAACCTTAGCGTTCCGTCCTTCTTCTTAACCAGCACGACTGGCGAGGCCCACGGACTATTTGAAGGTTGGATTATGTCGTCTCTCAGCATCTCTTGAACTTGCTCCTGGATTACCTCCCTTTCTTTAACGGAGACTCGGTACGGCGATCGATGCACAGGGCGTGCGTCATCCTCGGTAACGATGCGGTGCTTCGCAACGGCGGTTTGGCGTACCTTCGACGACGTCGCAAAACAGTCGCGGTATTCGGCGACGAGGTTAAGCAGCTGCCGTCGTTTCAGGCCCGGAAGCTTTGAGTCAATGTCGAGCTGCGCTGGCAACGCACTGTCTGGCTGAGGCGGCGAGGGTTCGTCAGTAATCGCGGTGATTTCGGCGGGGTTTCGGAGTTCCTCGACGTGGCCCACGGCTGCACCTTTCGTGAGGTGTTGCGTTTCGTTTCGGAAGTTGGTCACGAGGGCCATAGTCCGCCCATCCTGAAGTTCAGCTACACCCCTTGCGACGCCTATTCCTCTTCCCAGGAGCAATTGGAGGCTTCCCTCGAGAAGAACTTCGCCGCAGGAAGCTGTATCGGCCACGACGGGTACGACAACACTTGATCGCGGAGGCAGGTTCACGTGGTCGGCGGCGACTCGGACGGCGGGTGACGCTCTTTGGGGTTTCTCTGAAGGCGGAACAGGCTTCCTCAGCGTCAATCTGTTCTCACCCAGGTCGATGACAGCGCCGTATTCGCACAGAAAGTCCATGCCGAGAATGACATCTCTGGAACAGTCTTGTAGAACGACGAATTTCACAGGGCACGTTTCGCCGTGAATTTCGACGCGAGCAGTGCAACTTCCGACAGGCGTGATAAGGTGTCCTCCGGCGGTTCGAATTTGTGGTCCTCCCCAGGGCGTCGTAACTTTTCGCAGGCGGCGAGAGAGCTTCCCACTCATGACTGAGTAGTCTGCTCCGGTGTCCACGAGTGCCGATGCGTCGTAGCCGTCGATAACAACATTTAGGTTGTTGGACACCGATGCAGTGGCTTCGTTGCGATGCGTGGCGTCGGGGGAGTGGGAGCGCTCCGGCGTTTTTGGAGGCTCTTTACTCTGGTCGTCTTCGGCAACGCCACCTCCAGGCGTTGCCGCACTTAGTTTTCCCGACGAGATAGGGGGGATAGGCTGTCCCGACGAGAGCGGCGGAAGGGCGAGAGCGCACGTCGTGGCGAAGGCGAACGGGAACCTCGGGGTCGAGTCGGCACCGGGGACAGGGGTCGTCGGAGGTATTCTTCAATGTCACGAGGGCGTTCACCGTACCTTGGGCGAGGGTCGTTTGGCGCAAACCCTCGTAGGCCCATTTGACGATAGGGGCACCTTCGATAGACGTGGTCGGCCTCACCGCAGTGGTAGCACAGCGGTCGCCTGTCGGCCGTCCGCCACACGTCGGTCTTCCTCGTCGAGGGTTGCTCCGGACGGATGTACTGGGCCTGTCCTTCCTGACGTCGAGGATACTGTGGCATCGGAGGGTCTCGTCGGGGTGGTGCCGTTGTCTGGCGGTTAGCTTGCGGCGGTCGTCGGGCCATGGCGGCGTAGCTCAGCGTTGGTTCCTCTGGCGTCGTCGTGTTGGTGGAAATTTCAGGCTGGACGGCTCGGTGAAGCTCCTCTCGGACAACCTCGGCGAGTCTTAGAGAAGACGGGCTATCTGCAGCGGGGAGCATCTTTCGGAGCTCTTCCCGGACGACTTCACGGATGATGTCGCGTATGCCGGGGAGGCTAGGGCTGATGTCATGGCCCAATGCAGAAGAAGCAGCGATGCTCGAGTGCCGATGGTAATGGCTGGCTCTTGCGAGGAGGGCACGTTCCATGCTCGTAGCTTCCCTGACGAAATCTTCGACGGTGGCTGGAGGGTTGCGGACAAGACCACCGAAAATGTCATCCTTTACGCCTCGCATCAGGATCTGCAGCTTCTTTTCGTCGGTGGCTTGAGGGTCGGCGCGAGCGACCAGGCGCAGAACATCCTCAACAAAACTGGTGATCGTCTCGTTTGCGCCCTGGGTCCTCATTCGAAGAAGGTCCTCGGCCCTCTCCCGTCGATACTGGTTGGTGAATGTCCGTGTCAGCGCATCCTTGCAGGCGGTCCACGAGGTCAGGGAAGTTTCGCGATTTTCGAACCAGTGCCGGGCCGTTCCTTCGAGCGCGAAGTAAAGATTCTGCAGGCGCTGTTCGTCCGTCCATTGGTTGTGCTGGGCCACTCGCTCGTATTGTTGTAGCCAGTCCTCGACGTCTTCGTGGGCGTCCCCGTGGAAAGGCGTCGGGGTCCGGGGTGCGACGGGCAGGTAGATGAAGGCAGGAGCGGCCGGGGTCTGCGACTGGTTGGCCATCGTCGTCTTCTTTGGCCTGGGCTTGTCCGGCAGCAGACCAAATTCAGGGGACTGACCTCTGGTACGGCGGCTTCTTCGGGCTTCCGCGTCTTCGGCGAAGGGTAGCCTTCCGGGGCTGAGCACGTCGCTTGGCCGGGATGTCTTTGGAGGGGTACGATTGACGGGCATAGGATGGAATACCCCGCACCTCCACCAATAATGTCACGGGTGGTGACCAAAAACAATAGATGAACAGAAAGAAATAAACGTTTAATGTGGCGAACTTGTGCCAAAATAAAAGAGTACAAAAGATAATAACAGAGCGTCGCAGGCGTCGAAGTCGGCGAAACCGCAGGATCGAGCGCTGGGGCGAGACTGAACACGCACTTTCTAGAACAACATAAGCGGGGATAAACGATAGAAGTTATGTCCGGAGCAAGAATAAACGAGAAAGTTCTAGAAGTCCGTGACCCCTGCGCGCGGCAATAGGTCGCTGGAGTCGCGAATATATATATATATATATATATATATATATATATATATATATATATATATATATATATATATATATATATATATATATATATATATATATATATATATTTTTTTTTTTTACGAGGCACGTCTGGACGTTTGCCTGAAAAGGTTTTGCTTAGATTGCCCTTTTTTTAGTCGCAGTTCTAGGAGCTTCCTTCGTGACCACGTTTCTAGTTTCGACGGCTTGAAGAGGGGTCGGCAGCGCTAAGCCAGCGCCAACGCTCATCGACGCCAAGAGGATGTAACACGCGATAATTTTGAGGTCACTTCGCAGAAGCCACCCCAGGGGTCTAATTTTGGTCACCGACAGAGCGAGAGCGATATCTAATTTGCCTCTCACGGAACGGGCTCGGATCTCGGTCGCAGACTGTTCTTCCGGTGAATAAAGGAAGGCTGGGGACAAGCACCTCGAAAGCCGATAGACGTCTCTCGCCGTTTGTGTGTGGTGAGAACTTCTCACACAAAGAATGACCGGCCGTGAACTCGAGAACGGGTCACAGTTTCTCATTGGTGGACTACGCACGCCCAGCAGCAAGCTGTGAAGCCTCCTCCAATCAGCAGTCGAGATCGCTCTCGCTGTCACTTTGACCGAAGTCGGACCTCTGGCGTGAATGCTTATCTTGGCCGACCAAGGAAAGATCCGGTGTCCGGCGGCTAAGTCGGCACTCGATTGCGTGAGCCGACAGTAGAGAGAACGTTAGCGATTTGCTGTTGTCCGATACCGACAGCAAGCATGGCTCGACGCAACCAGCTTCTGGGCTTCTTCGTTGGCACGTTAACCGTGGCGGTCTACGGGCAGGGTCCCGGTAAGTGAGCTCATCTTGTTTCTTAAGAAGCGTACGTGAACAAAAACGTAAACCTTGTTGACGAAATCGCTGCCCAGATTATCGTCGTTGAAATGCGAAAGCATTTTGCACCGTCGTGTACCGCGTGAATGGCTCCTTATTAAGCTGCTCAAGAACCGCTGTGGAAATTCTAGGCATATTTATTGTCGACCCCAAGAAGTGTTCTATCGCATTTAAACCCAATTCAAATAATGTTATCGACTGTCTACCTTCCGCGAACGGGCTTCCCGCTACGATCCAACAACTATTGTTGTAGATAAACATTAAAATATTATGTTTACGAACAGTAGTCATCACAGGTAACCAAATTATTTCTAATCAGTTATTTTCAAAGTAATTTTTTATTAATTTGATTATCTTATTAGGCACTAATCGCGAGGCTATTTTGATTTCTTTTGGAGGGCATAAACAACGAGGTAGAGGGCCTGAGAGCGATAAACTGGCAGCTAAAAGTGACCCCAAATTTTCCGCCGAAATGTTGCACCATTTTGACCACCAGACACGTAACCTTTTAGTTTTACGTCTAGGTTTTAACGAAGTACCGCGCACACATAATTGATTAATGATCTTTAATAACACTACCGACGAGATAACTTATGTTTCGTTTGTTTTAAGTCCAAAATGTACTTTTACGACAAAAACTCTGGCAGCTTCGCAATGACTCTGCTAGGTGTCGTCAGCCCCGGTGCTGCGTTTTGGGTTTTTATCGAAGCTAGACATTATTCTCTGGAGCTAATAGCATTAAAAAAATAGTTAATCATGTTTTTCTTACAGCGATCGCATTACAAATATCGGCTCACTTTTGCGTAAAAGCCTCAGGATTTGGTACGGTCACGTCTCTAGTGGTCAAAATGGTACACATGGCGACAAAAGAGTGGGGGTCGCTTTTGAATGGTAAACGGCATACCAGTCTATCGCTCCAAGCCCCTCTGCCTCGTTGGGCGTGAATTACTTGTTTCCATTATATACATTCGACCTCCACATAAAAATTAAAAAAAAAAAAAAAAAAAAAAAACATAGCAGCGACCCGAATTTTCAGACTTAAAAGCCATTAAACCGTCGTTTCGGGGAATGAAGCATTATTATTGTGATCAAATTCCCCGGTACACGAAGCGGGGAAGCTAAGTTGCTGTATAGGTCACGTGATGTCAGGTTACATAACACAAATCTTGCTGCTAAATATAGCGGGGTGACTGAACTGGTCTATACGTAACGGGACAACACTTTCGCCGCTAAATTCAGCGGGGAAACAGATTGGCGTATACATGCCTTGCAAGTGACGTCACGCCAAGGAAGGTCGGGGCCCCGCACCATACTGGTGGTCGACTTCACACCGCGCGGATGCGCTTACCAAGGCGTAGGATGCCGCTAACTACCCGGACATGCGCTAACATGCACCATATTTTCAAGAAAGGTACCTAGTTGTGTTACATGTGAACTTGGAAAAACGTGCTGACCTTATGATGATGACGTTTAGCCAGTGCGTGCGGAATTTTTCGGCATTGGTGCGATCGCGCTACGAGCAGAAAGTTTCGAAATTCCGCCGACGAAGTTTTGACGCAAAACACTGCCCTGTCGCCGAAACAATAAAAAAAGCTTAATTGCGCGCCCCATAATTTGACGAGCGGCTCTAGAAGTCGCTTGTAGAAAAATTGTTACGATTTTGCGAGATACTGGTAAACAACGCAAGGTTACCGTCATAATCTAAACCCTGAGACAAGGATAATTCAAATAACGGACAAGACAACTCTCATTGTCCAGGGTTTATATTCTGACGTTTCCTAACCGGCTCGCCTGTATACTTTCGCTCCTTGCAAAGGTTACCGTCTCGCGGACGGCACAAACCGATGACCCGGCGGCGGCGTCTCGGCGAGCTTGCACGCGGGGGCCGCTGCCGGCCGATCCGTCTGGCCGGGCTCGCGGTGCGACACTCGCCTGGACTCGGCCGCGAGCCCCGAAGGTGCGCTCGAAGCGTGGAAACGGTGTTATGTAACGAAGACCAAAGGCCATATACACCACGAACGAGCAAAAGCCGATGCAAAGGCGTGCGCGAACGGAAACAACGGTAAAAAAGTGCTGTCGCTAACCGCTATGAAATGCGTCCACAAACTCGATAATCCGCGGCCGCATCCCTTTCCTCCCGCTCCTACTTTCTCTAACTTGACGGCTACCGTCTGGCGGGGCAAGTTGGCAAGTTAACAAAACGATCGGACGATCGTCGGGATACGGGGCAATTGGTACATCCGAGCGCGGCGCAGTTTACCATTGCGCTCGATGCGAAGGGCCGTCGAGTCGACCACCAGCATGGTGGATACCGGATTTCGACGTCATCATGTGATGTAGGTGCAAGGTATGTATAGGTCACGTGACATCACTCGACATCACGTGACCTAAACACCAACTCAGGAGAAATGCCACGGAGTGACGGACAAAATTGATTGGGGGATTCCGTTAAAATTCGGAGCTCTCAATATTTGTTCTGCCTATATTGTACATTATGTAGGAATATGCGAATGTAGTACTTCTGTCACTACCCTAAGTTTGTTCACATTTCGATATTATTTTTGGTTCTTCGGATCTGTTCTCCAGACCTGGCCTTGTGCGGAACAGGTCCTCGCGATGCTATTGAGCGGTGTTCCGGCTGACCACTGTAGCGGCGTGGATGCGGCATCAACTTGACACATTTTCGCTGTTTCAGGGTTGAGCGTCCGTCCAAATCAGCCGGAGCATACGTCGAACAGCACACTCATCTACACGTCGAACAGCACACTCATCTACATCAGGACCGACAGCCAGAACACCTGGAAGCATTGGGTTGACGACCTCAACGAGTACCTCGCGGGTCGGTGCTTTTGCTACAGAAGTCGCAAGGGGTGTGAAACATATATGGCATAGCTAGAGATACGAACTAAGCCACGATTCAGAGTATAGCCACACTTCAGCCATCTTGGTACTTATAACTATTGTTGCCAGCTACGTCTGAAATCGTAGGAAACAATTTTCTGTGCTCCAGAAATGTAAAAACAGCTTGCCATAGAGCAAAACGACACCATCTGAGGTTTCTGACAGTGACACCATATCTAAAAGCTAAGCAAGTCACGTTTCGGAATCGCTACGATTGACAATCGACCCCTTTCAAGATTTCATCAAGCAACACTGGTGGTAGCCATTGCTTTGGACACGAAGCGCGCGATTGGACCCGAGTCCTCGCCGAACGCTGACGTCAGCACTCGTGTCCAACACGAGCGAAGCCAAGTTCACGCCGAACGCTGTCGCTCAATATATGCGATCAAGCGAAGTGGAAAAGTGTTGGCGTGGACTTTTAAAAAGGGTCTATTGCGCCCTCCCTCAACTTGGGACCGAAGTAGCGGTGCCAGCAAGAAAACCGGGGATTGGAGTGCCGATGCTCTAACCGCCGAATTCAGAAGCCTCACTCAAACTACACTCAAACTGAAGGGCCCCTCCACTTCCTCGAGGAAGGCGCGAGGGCCGGCGCTGGCCAATCGCGAGGACGGATCCGCCGTCGCGATTGGCCAGCGCCGGCCCTCGCGCCTTCCTCGAGGAAGTGGAGGGGCCCTTCAGTTTGAGTGTAGCTTGAGTGAGGTTTCTGAATTCGGCGGTTACCGTTGAATTCAGAAACCTCACTCAAACTGAAGGGCCCCTTCAGTTCCTCGAGGAAGGCGCGAGGGCCGGCGCTGGCCAATCGCGAGGACGGATCCGCCGTCGCGATTGGCCAGCGCCGGCCCTTGAGCCTTTCTCGAGGAAGTGGAGGGGCCCCTCAGTTTGAGTGAGGTTTGTGAATTCGGCGGTTAGTGTAGCCTTTTTAGTTTCTTTATAGTTATACGGTCTGAGAGGTACTCTAAAGTACGGTCTTCACCAATGAAAAAAGACCCACTCTGAGCGCGTGACCGAAATGGCAGCTGCCGGGGGCGCTGCTTACGCTTTGTGCAATTCCATTCCACTCCGAGGGAAGGGAAGGCGCTTCCTCAGTGTACGCCGATTACGTTCGGCTGCGTTCTCGAGTTTCGTTTCCTAGGAGCGATACGGATCTGTCTGGGGAGAGCGCTCCACGGCCCACCCAATCACTGTCTGGGCCACACAGTCCGAGAGATTATTTTATATTGGGGAGGACTGTCCAGTCAGAGGCAATACGAGCTGGGCCAGTTCAGTGCTAGCCAAAAGGGGTAAAATGTCGCATGGGGTGCCTCTGGCATGCTAAGCTATGAAACCGACTGCCACATTGTGACAAATGTGGCAGTCTCATATTCCAAGATTTTCTTATTCTTAACAGCTTGACGAATTAGGAGTTTTCTGCAAGGCTTCTATGCCTTGAAGGCTGCTGAGCCAGCTCATATTCGTGTACTCTGTAAAGTGTCATTCGAATTTTGAGCCCTACTGGGCAAGCTAGTTCCATCAACTTTTATGTGTCTAAGTTCTTGAGCAGACACATCTGCCAAACCTCTTAGTGTGCGAAGTTGACAAGATCTGAACACTTTGGGCATTATCTGGAAGTTTGAAGGTGGAATTCGCGTGCAGTTGTGAAGTCTACAAACGCTCTCGTGCCAAAGGCATACTTCGCAACTGCGTTTTTTTGGGAGCTTCGCGCTAGGACGTGTAGCTACTGTGGCTCTAGCCTGCGTGTCTCCCTATTTGAACTTGAACTAAACACCTTGCGGACTTCAAAACCAAACTTTTTAAACCCTCAAACTCGAAGCTCTAGAGCAGGGGCCCGCGGCAGTTTTTATGTTGCTCACTGCACGACACGACGACACAATGAAAGCACCCCCCTTCCCTCTTCCTGACGCAGACTCAAGGACCACACGGCAGATTTTGAGCTCAAATGTAGTTAGAGAGGAACAAGGAGCACTTCCGATTGGCACTGTCCGGCATCCCCATACTTTTGGCAGAGAACATATTCACTTCCCTTGTGTCTTTTCTTCGCCCCCCCCCCCCCCCCCCCACACACACACGCACACACACCCACACCGCCTTTACCTTCGCGACTTGCCTCCCTTTTGGCGTGCTCCGGCTGTCCAATGTCGCCGCTGCAAAAGGATGCCGGCCCCTGCTCCAGAGTGTTTGAAATATTTCCAGCCTTTCCGAGCTCTGAACCTGAAACAGGTTTCGACTTTTGACGCCCCTTTTACATCGTCTCCCTTTGTGCGTTGCAACATGAGTTGGGTTCTGCATCATGAAAGGAATGTTTGCTTCGCAGACTACCAGAGTACGGGGGCAAATAGCGAGCACCTGCGCCTCTGCGACTTCACCCATCCGCTTGACCCCGACGAAAACAAGTCCTGCTATTTTTCCCTCGATCCCATTGCCAACGACTGTTCAGCAGCCAACAACTTCGGCTACCACCGCGGTCAACCCTGTGTCCTACTCAAGCTAAATAGGGTGGGTGTGCTTCTCCACATTTGCTCGCATGATATACGCCATATGCACATCATGCGCCGCGTTTCTGCACAACGGCGCAGTGAAAGAGATAGCGTGCAACTCATCATTGTTGCGCAATTTAATCTAAAGGCTTTGCTTAACATACGTACGGCACCAGCATAAACTCGCTACGATCCGATGGAGGCGATAAAGTAGCGTCAAAAGTACACCGTCTTGGCTGTCGTTTTCTTCGTGGGCTTGCTTTCAACAATTAAACCAGTCACACACACAAAAAAAAATGCGCAGGATCATGGCGCCGTTACTGTGCGCGATTGGATTACTCGGTGATAGCAGACGTACACAGACGATGAGTGCTGAGTGCGTGACAATGCATATTTGGCGTTGCTTGATTCTTCATCGAATCAAGGCGTCGGCTGCTGTCGAACCTAGGTGGGAAGCTGGAGTATCTCGATTGATTGACAGGATTCACGTAGCGGGTCTCTTCATGACCGCGGATGTCGGACATTGGACATCCACTGAAAATGTACTCTAAAGCAAACTTTATGTTGGATCTTTAGACAGCGTGAGGTATAGGTCCGCCCTTATCTGGCGACACCGTTCACATGGCAGATGACATACTTATCCAGCTCGATTCGACTGCTAAGCTGTTTTTTTTTTCTAACTTGTATCACGCAGTGGCGACACACGCTATAGTGCAATACTCATCCAGGTTAAAATTGCGAGGTGTGGAGATAGAACATGCATAATTCTTGAGCTCAGTGTCGCAAGCTTCATCTCCACAGACTCCGAGGTCCGGTACGCTTACGGACTCTGACGTTGACTGGGAAAATACGGAGCGCGACAAAGTTGACATGCGCAGGGAGTCAAAGGTTTTCCCTGTTTATTTGTCATTGCTGAAATATTGCCATTGAAAATGCTGGTTTTGGCCTAATGTGCTCTCGTACTCCAAGTGGGTTGCAATACTGGATGTTTCAATAAAATGTGAGAAAGCGCCAGTCTTATGTTCGCACCAACTCTGTCGTGCTTTGTACATCTCCTTTGGTCTAATTAAAAAAAATGTAGTGTAGAAATCAGCCATGGGATCTCGAGGATTGAAGAATTTCAGAATCTGAACTGATGGCGGCTACACAAAAACTGATGACAGATAAAATATTTTTGCAGAGCTTTTCTTTTTCTTTTTTTTTTTCTTTTTACGCCTAGGTTTTAGTTAGTTGTATTCGTTTCTATAAACTCAAAATAGTGAAATGAAAGCCATTTTTTTATCTAGAGGTACTTGTTTGTATTCTCTCTCCCCTCATAGTTACATAATGTTTCTGTTATCCATTTTACCTTACCACGTACGGCGGCGGGTTTCAATACTTTGTTGCTTAATATCCAACCCTGTCAAGGCTACTGACACGAGCGCGTGCCTTCATCTTATGCCTCATATACATAGGAGCCCTGGCAAATGAGACGTTGCATCAAGACTCGGGCTCGTACCAGTAGGTTTGTCAGTATTGTACAGTAAGTGAGAAACGGAGTATAAGCACAAGTTTATAGCTTTAGTTGGTGCTCCTGATGCATAAGTGTGCGCAGCTGAGGTAGGTCTTAAAGAAAAAAAAAACCTTGTTTGTTGCTTTGGCTGTAGTATACAGTAACGTATGTGAGGGCGGCCCATACAATTGCCAGAAATATCTTTTTTGGAAGCTCTGAATGAATGTCCTCGACATCATCAGACCCTTGGCTGGGTGCCGGAACCGTACGAGAACGGCTCCTTCCCTGCCAAGTTGCCAAAGTACATCCAGGACAACTACGACCCCAGATACGTCTACATCAGCTGTGAGGGAGAGGTAAGTCTCCATGCATGCTGGCGCACTTGCCAACGAGATGTTAGTTGTTGTTTTATTCAGGCGCACAAGAACACTTTACAGAATCCTTGGTCTGGTACAGATAACTCGAAAGGGGGACAATTGACGTACGTGGGGATAGTTAACTGTATGGTCGGTGACAGGCAAAGAATTCAGTGGAAGCTCCGCCTCCAGTACGCGCATGATACCTTTCACTGGGCTTAGGCTGCGCGTGCGACGATGTGTTGCCAAAGGCAGAAAGCTCGGGCAGGAGGCAGAACGCGCAATGAATTTTTAGCCTCTCATCAAGTATATGGCTTGCAATGACGTCTTGGAATCGGCCGTTTTGGTGGCCTCTGCAGAGCGCGCCCGGTGGAGCATATATTTCACACAACCGACTTTTTTTTTTTTTCAGCGATAAGAGGTAGGAATGACCCCCAGCATGATGGTATGACGTAACGTGCAAGACATGTACTTAACAGGACAAACCCCTATTGGGGAGGAGGCAACTTGCCGAAAAATGCAGCTCGTCACAAGGAGTTAACATGGGGACTTCCGTTTCCTTTGTCCCCCGCCAATGGAATTTCCCTTTTTTACACAAAAAAGAATACACAAATAGGACGGAGCACAGAACATGACATTCTTCAACTAGTAACAAGAACGAAAAAAAAAAAAAAAACGCCCCCAAAGACGTCTACGAATCTTGAAAGGAGAAGGATAAAAAATGTTGAAGGAAAGGGAAATGGTCAGAGGGGAAAAGAGATAGAGCTGAAATACATGAATGTTGTCTTTGAAAAATTAGATTAAAAGCTTCAAAACACTGTACCACCTCGATGTGTGAAGAGTCTGGAAAGTCTAGGCTTAAGAAATTCAACTTCTGTTTTCGTCAGAGTGACGGAACGGAGATATTGTTGCACACCGCATCAATAACAAATGACTCAATTATTTGCTCTCCCAAATCTGGACTCTTGTCCTTTATAATTCGGGTGTCGCGAAACCAATGTGTGAAGTCATCACACGTGCTGCCGTGAACAACGATGAGGTTAAGGTATTCAACGGAGGCCTTTGAAACCTCAAAGGTAATGTTTTTTGAGTCGGTTGTTGGCACAACGCCCTGCTCGATTATTGTACTAGCTCCCGCAGCTTAGAGCGATCGAGCACACCTTCTTGACTTCACACTTAACACACTTGTTGGCGTATATGACACTGTACCCTCTATTGAGATGTTGCTCACATTGACCATCTGGCACATCTGTTTGAGGCGTATGCGGCAGGAAAAGACAACGCCCGTGCCGAACTCAGCAGCGAGAGATCTGCAACGTTACGCAGAGTGGTTCCGCATAGGGTATCACCAACGGATTTTAATGCCTCCGATGAGTCATTTCACCCCATCGTTGTTCATGGCCGCACGTGTGATGACTACACACCTTGCTTTCGCGATACCAGAATTCTAGGGGGGCACAAGAACAAATTTGGAAGGAAAATCATCAGGTCGTGTGTTACGGGTGCGGTGTACAACAATAGTTCTGCTCCTTCGCTCTCACTGACGGAAACAGAAGCTGAATGTCTTACACCTGAACTTTCCAGACTACTTCACGCACCGACGTGATACTCTGTTTTGAGGCTTTTAATCTCATTTTTCAAACACAAAATTTATGTACGTTTTATCTATATTTCTGTCTGACATTTCCAGTTCTTTCCAACATTTTTTTATTCTATTTCCAAGATTCGTAGACGCCATTGGGGGGCGGTTCCGTCTCATTCTTGTTGTTGCTATGCTTCGTTTCAGTTTTAGTCCAGACACAGCCGACCCTACGAGCTGACAGGACCAATCATACAGTATCAAGAGCGCACCATCATGGTGTTCGTCATGTTTATGCACGTGTTCTGTCATTGCCCAACCAATCATAAACAAGAAAGACCCAGTGACTTGTGCTTTTGACGCTGCATGATTGGCCTATTACACTCTTAAAAAAAATGTTGCGCAAAGAGACCAATCGCCATTTTTCATCCCCACGACCCAAGCGCCTTTTATTCAGAAGCGGTAACTCGAGCAGTTCGTACCTCGGGCATTTCGTTGCTCCCACTGGAGTTTCTCCCCTAATGAATACTTTAGTCCCCTCGTCAATAATGGTTGCCGCAAGCCCTCGATGAAGTGGACGAAGCATCACTCGAGTAGCTATTTTGGAAAGAAGCCTGGGCAAAACAAGATTTTGGCCCCGGGATTTAGAAATTGTGATTACGCGCGCATATTTAGTGAATGTCTTCGTCCGCGAACAAACATGAAAACGGAATCCGAGCGACGCGGAGGCGCCGGTAACGAGGCTACCTACTACCCAACGGCCGCTCTTGCACCCGAGTTTGAAGTGGTGAGCGGTGACCTGTGGCGCTGCGGTGGATGCGTTGTCGAAGAGGAGTCGGAGCTGCGACCGATTGAAAGGTGAATTTTGATAGCTTTGGCTACTTGTAGAGCAGCAGGAACATTATAAGTATTTCAGAAGGTACTTCATAAAGCCGCGGGGTTGCCCTGTACGATAGACACTCGCTCTCTGACGCTGTCGGGTGCGTACTCGCCCGTATTAGCGTGCAAACGAGACCTAGCACTTCGCAACTATACCCGGTGGCAATCAGTTAATCAAACTAACGATGTTACACCGGGAGATCGTTTCGTCGGCGCAGCGACGTTTTAATGCGACTTAGTTTCATCGAAAAGTTTCCGTGTTCGTTTCATCGACCTACCTACCTTGCGACGCTTTATCGAAAGCGTCGTTCCGCACATATCGCTTCCGTCGTCGGCGTGAAGGTACCGCGGCGACCAAGGCGATGCGAGGTTGACGAAACCTTGGCGGTTCTTATGAGGCCTGGTGGATCAAAACTTCGACCTAAAGGGATCAATGCAAAAGGAACGGACTAAACCGAGGTTTTGCCGTTTTTGGGAGATCACTCCCAGTGACATCGATTTAGTCCCCAAAAAGGACAAAGTACTACTCCTTTTTTTTTATTTTTAAGAGTGTAGTTTGTGGGGTCGGCTGCGTCTAGACTTAAGCTGAAACGAAGTATACACCGATCCGGTGTTAAAAAAACAAGCCTGCCTTTGCCCGCACCGTGTGTTGGCATTGCGCGTGCGCAAAAACCAGGTTCGCTTAAGGCGAAGCTTCTGCGCATGCGCAGTGCCGACGACAGCGCCACCACAGTGGCGTGACGTCAGAGACTTGAGTTGGTTCATAGTTGAAAGATGTCATGTTCTGTGCTCCGTCCTATTTGTTTATTCTTTATGCCCGAGTCCCACTAGAGCGACAGACAGACGCTACCGGCATCGACAAACCTCAAACACGTGCGGCATCCACGCGATGGTACTTTTCGCAGTCCCTCGGTGCTCGCGAAGTAAGCACAAGTGATTGCAAGCCTGCCAAAGATTCCCTCGCGTGCATGATGCTCGTGTTGGAGGGTTGTCGGTGTGGGCCATTTCTGTTTGTCGCTCTAGTGGGACACGGACATAAGTGTGTAAGAAATGAACCTCATTAGCACGCTTGGTTTTTAATTAGCGGAATTTCCTGGAGCTTCTCTGCATTTCACCTTTGTCTAGCCAAAGCCATGGAGTCTGGCGAGCAGGGTTACTTCTGTCATTCTGCTACCTTGCACGTTCTGTTATTATATATTAAGAAGCTCGCAACGTCAAGTTTTGCAACATATGACGGCTGTTCGCAATTCCCGAATCCCGGATAAATGACTGATTAAGCCATTAAGCCGATTGATGAAAGTGCTATCTAAGAGGGGTGTTTTTCGATTGCGTCGTCAATGCACGTTTTGCATGGGACAAAAAGGCTTATCTATGCCACAACAATATATTCCGATGTAGCTTTCAAACCAACAAGACAGTTTCTAACGACATCTGCAACTTGGTATTATCAGGCATCTTGAAAGAAAACTATATAGTCGGGCGTAGCCATGGTTCTTTTTCATATGTCCTAATGACGAGACGTTAATAAATTTCTTTAATTGGACGAGAGTGATGCGGCGTAAAAGGAACATTACTAAGGGCTCATTTATACATGGCTTGCACGTGACGTCACCAAAGAGTGCTCCGATAGCCACCAGAGAAGAGGGAAAGGAGGAGCTCCCCTCTTACCAGGATCCTCTTTTGTGTCTCCGCGATTTTCACAGACGTCGCCGCTCTCCTCCCAGAAGATTATAGAAGATTAACCCGTCACTCTAAATTCTTACAAAGGCAGCTTCCCTCTCCCCCCCCCTTATATGGTGGTCAATAGTACGCGATGTGACGTCGGTGCAAGCCATGTATAGAAATTAGCCGGAAGAGACACAATTCATCCTTTCATGATTATTTTCGTTGGAAAGGACACCGATTTAATAGTAATTATCAGTAAGCATTCTTTGTACGAGACAATGCAGTGCAGGAGTTTTGTTTGGTACCTTGGAACTTGACCAGCTTAGTCTGATGTGCAGCCAAAGAAACGATGCACTGCTCCTTCAGTAACTCCTCAGGTTGTAATCGATATCCCCGGAGACATTAAACTTCATGCAATCACGGGCATGCTGCACAGTATATTTCCCAATGTGCACTCAGTACTGAAGCACAGATGCACAGCTTGAATCTCGCCCCGGTGATGACGGGAAAATTGGCCCTTGGTGTATCTCAAAACATCCCATTCTCATTCCGCCCTTTCTTATTTCGATCCATTCTCATTTGATACTTTTCGTTTGAACCTTCCCGAAACATAAGAGCACGATTGTTTGCATTTATGACCATTCGAACTTGATCGTTTTGCACACCGACTGAGTGACTCTAAGCGGCGCAGGATCTAAACAATTTGGTTTAGGACGTTTTGGTGCACGGACGTCATCAGGTCATATTTGAATTTGTTATTGGGGAACTCGTGCCCAAAGTGTTGCATACTCGTAAAAGTACTGCTTAGTGATACCGTTAAAATGTCCAGTAAAAGTTACAAAAGAACTCTGTCAATTGCGAAAAGAAAAGGTATTTCGAGAGGTTTTTGTGTGGAAAGGTTCAAAAAGAAAAACTATCCCCGTTTGCTTTAAGTAAAGGGTGCTTGCGTGCATATCCAAGGCAAAAGAACGTCGGGGTGCGGGAAGGTCCAGGAACAAGCATGTCGGAAAGTATAACAGTATAGTTGTGAGTTGGCAAGTCCAAGCTACGGCGGCGAACAATTGCGGGAAGTTAATTATTTTGATGGATAGCCTTTTAGTAGCTTATATTACTCTCCTACTGAAGTAATTATGCGGTTAATTTACCTTTTCACGCGGGAACAAAATTCGTAGTCGCGAACATATTTAGTAGCAATCCATCGCATGTTCTGTTACCAGCGTTTGCTGCTAAGGGTGGGAACAGTTTTGATAAGTGTAACACTTTACACCTCGAGAAAACGAGGAAGAGAAGAAGAGGAGAGCGTGCAGTGACGTCAGAACGCCGACCCCTGATTGGAAGTATAGTGGGTAGACTCAAATACTTGCAGCCTTTATCTGTACCCACTCTCCCATCAATTCGGAGCTCACAAGAGCGATCGCCTGCTTCCCGTGCAAAGTCAGGCGTTCGAACTCCGGACTGCGCGAAAGTAAACGACGCTCTTCTTAGCTGTAATTGGAGAGGAGTTCTCCTCCCCGTCGCTTTCTGACCTTATAAGGGGCATTCTGTGAACGCCATATTTGAGTGCTCCATTCACGGCGCATGTTCAAAACGAACTCACAGTATAAACTGCCAAGATTGACGTTCCTAATGGCGCGGAATGTGCAGTGCGAAAGCGCTCTGAAAGTTTGACCTGAAAGGGGCTTAGCTGTTACGGACTTAGCTATTGCCGCCAGGGAATAACAGCTATATTTCGCGATTGAGCACTCTGGCTGCTGCGCTAACCTGTGGTGCTCTGATGCTTCCTTTCAGAACCCCGCGGACAAGGAAAACGTGGGACCGCTCGTCTACTACCCGAACCTCGGCATACCGAACTATTACTTCCCGTACAGGAACACGCCAGGATATCAGTCGCCCTTCGTCTTTGTCCGATTTCCGCGGCCCCAGCGGGGAGTTTTCATCAGCGTGGAGTGCAAGGCTTGGGCCAAGAACATCCACCACGACCAGCAGAGTCGCGTCGGGAGCGTCCACTTCGAGCTCTTAATCCAATAAATTCAGCCAATACAACACGACCTCTACTAGATGTCATATTAAAATAAATGTTTTGCGATTTATTTATGTTTAAAGGGAAATAGTTGTTACAGTATATGGCTGTCGAAGGAAGATACAATGATTTTGGCTTATAAAATGTGTACGTCTTGAAAAATATCCAAGCAAGAAGCCGAACTTGTTTTACTGCGGCTACGGCGATCGGGGCGGGGTGGGGGTTCACTAACAGTGACGTCATGCGGAAGACTTGTTTTCTAGGTAGTATCGGTTCAGTGACGCCTACCCCAGCCCTTCCTCGATGGGTAGCGCGCTTCTTCCGTAGCGTGAAGGTACAGCTTCTCTCATTCGCTTCTTTGTTGTGTTCACTTTTTTCAAGATGCGATAGAAGCGTGGCATTGGGGGCAGGAAAAGGGGGCGCATTGTTGTTTCTTTACAAAACATTGCAGCGCTCATCTTTTGTCCCGCCTGCATGAAGGAAGGTGCCTGGCTCTCGCACAGGAGGGCCGGCGTCCTTGAGGGAACACGTCCGACACCGACAACGCACTGTCGAGGCATATCCTTCTACGTATGTTACAAAGCTTGGAGGGCTAAAAGTTGCTGACACAGTGGTTTCGGTTCTGTGTGCTGTGCATTTATTTTCAGCAGGGGCTTCTGCTTTTAACCCTCTGCATGCTGCCTACAGCGTATCTACGGAAGTGGTTGGTACCTAGAATGCATTATCCGTCACTGTTTGTAGTTAAACTGCACGATGCTGGCCCAGATGCATAAAATAGGCCCTGTGTGAAACCCCACTCTGACGGAGCCATTGTCTCTCGGGCGAAATAAGCATCGGTACGGGAATTTCCCATATGGCGGAAATTTGGTAAGTGATCATGAGTATACACTAAATGGCGCTTTTAATCTTGCATTGGATCTATTTCGTGAAGAGCAGACACGGTCTCTATTTATGCATAGAAGGGGGCAGAGTCATACCGTCCTGCTATAGTTTATTCCATTTTCAATGCAAGCGTAACATTAGCTACTAGATCAAGCCCCGAGCCTTCAGTATCCCAGCCAAGCACGCACACTTTTGCAGTGCAGAAATTTTTCAGTGCAACATTCTCATGCTTGTAGCTTTTGCCTCGCGCACACAGCTTACACATACAAGACACAGCCACTGCTTATGACTCAACTATGCCCCCCCCCCCCCTCCCATTTACGAAAAAAGCCCTGGCTGCGCTCACTGAATGCGTAAATGTAGAAGTACTTGAGTATTGGGTTGGAGTCAGTTGAGTCCACCCGGTCCTGTCTTCTCACAACTGCCTCTTTGTTAAAAAAACTGCGCCAAGACCTTTTCAGAGCGTTTTCTTCAGATTTTGATCTGACTTTATTATGCTTTCAGCTCGTCATTACTCTTGCGTATTTTTCTACAATATTCCAGGGTACAGTCAACTGGTCATCTGTTTCAGTACTCAGCTAAGAAGGTTTCAAAATAGAGATAAATTAAATTTAGCACTGTGATTGAAGGTTAGGAATAATCTTTACAAGTTTAGCAGCAACTGACAGCTCTTCTGAACTATCCGAGGCTAAGGTGCAGTGGGCACCTCAAACTCCCTGTTCACGTTCATCGGTCTTCGTGCCACTGTCATATGGCGAGCAGGTGTTCCCAAATGCGTCTATGGTGCATCGAAACGCAAGGAAGGGCGTACCAATGAAAGAACAACAGAAATAACGCGTAGGGAACGCACGATGACGAGGCAGCCCAGCGCGCGCCGTCATTCGTTGAGGTCGGGGGGAAACAAAGGCACGTAGACGTCTTCGAGCGGTAAACAAACGCACGAGATGCGCAAGGAGCAGACGAACTTGGGCGCCATATTGGGCGCGTTGAAAAGCATGTGTCCCTTCAGCTGTGAACGCCGACAAACGGAACAACATTGCAAATATTTCTAGACCAGAAAAGTCAGCCACCAATGCGGGGAGCGAGTCGTCTGCTTCTTGCGGAGGAGTTGCGGTGACGTCAGAACAACGCCGAGTTCTTATTGCCTGATTAAGAAATAGTGGGCAAACCTCAAGACATCTAGCATTGAGGTTTACACTCGATCCTTTCAACCAATCAGAGCTAGGTGTTGCTCTGATTGGCTTTGATTGACTTGCTCTCCGCATAACCTACAAATTTCTGGTTGCCTCTAAAGTGCAGGATGTTTAACATCGATTTATGATTTCATGCTTCCTGGGATTTTACGAGTCTTCATGTAACTTTAGGGAGAAATCTAGCATAAAACAACCTTAAGTTGAATTCTGGTGTTCGCTCGCGCGTACGCATGTTGAGGCGTTTGTATACCATGTTGTGTCTGTGTCGGAACAAGCCACGCGGTCGTGTGACGTGGCGGTTTAACGTCCAGCGTATGGTTCGCACTATGGTGAGCCATAGACGTATATTTGTTTAGTGAAGCACTTTTTCGCGCGAGTTGCGTAAATAAACTTGAATTAGCTGAAAACCAATATATAGACTCATAGCATCCAGATAGAGCGACGATTTGCCACCATGGCAAACCGTCGCTCTATCTGGATACCATGAGTCTATCTGGATACAGGTTTCAACGCCTGTTGAAATCGCCCTCTAGGAGGCGCTCTCACTGAATTCGATTCAGAGCTGTTTATGTTAAGAGAGTTTGACCAATGGGCGGAGCTTGTGGGCCCACAGAAACTGGCTTGAAATAGGGTGTGGATACTTTAAGCGTAGCTATTAAAGCGGTACGGAAACCAAATTCTAGAGCCCATCTCTTTGCTTGAACATAAAGAGGGTTAAAATAAAACTTCACCGGTACCAATATTTCGTAGGATAACGCGAGAAAACTAATTTTAAGCTGAATAAAACGATAACCAAAAACCACCTCGTGGATGTCTGTGAAGCTTCGATGGAATGTCGTGACGACAACATGCCCGTAAGAGCAGCGCCACAACGGGAAGTACGGTCACTCATAGGCATTACTTAGGCCTGAACGTAGTACCGAGGCGTTTTGGTGAAGAAAGCAACAGCAGAGTTGGCCACCGCATCGGGTGGTCTTTCCGGCAACGTTTCTTTGGGCTGGTTTGGAGATTGTTTACGTGCGATGTAATATTCACGCTACGAAATGTCTGTTTAAAACGGGCCCGCACGCCCACCTTTCCTGATTACGAGATAGCTGCCTACGTCGACCGCAACTGATAACGAACTCGATCGCTAAGAAGTCAACACAACTACCATCGTTGCTAGAAGGAGACGGCCCATACGGCTCCGCAAAGCGGCGCGCATGTAAACAAATCCCTTCGGCGCATTTCGGGGATGCGGGAGAGAGCCAACGTCCAGGAAGATACGTTTGGAGTAAAAGAGTGTCAGCGTTCTTGGTAGCCGCTTCGGGAACGGTCTTTTACAACCGATTTTATGAACCGCTGGGTCTCTAGACAATCTCAGCTCGATGGTGACGAGACGCTGGGCAGAAAAAGATTGGACCGGCATTGAGTCGCTCCCAAAAACTGCACTAACTCGACATGTGTTGGCGTATCATGTCGAAATAAAATGGACATCTAAACAAAAGTGTACGTACCCATGTTGCGAAGGCAATTCATATGGCGTTTATTTGAGCTCTATAACACACACAAAAAAAAGGAGATAGAATTTATAGGAGTGTCTCCTTTTTCGACGAAACTTTGGTCACCGTTTCATCTGAAAACAAGCTAGGGACGACGGGGGGAAAGACTGACCTTCTTACCCCAAATTAGAGGTCAGGGATCAAACTATTCATACGAGGAGGGTCCACAAAGGTCGCGTGGGCGTATTCCATTCATCAAGCCAGCCGGTCGTGTGCAGATGGTCTTGCCCCGGATCGTCAAAGTGTTTTGCTAAGCCTACCGTCTTCGGTGGTCGCTTGGTCGGTGGGTCCTTGTCGTTGTAGCTTTTTCAGGTATCCGTGGTTCTTGCGTTCGTCTCCGCCGCGGCGTTCAGTTTCAATTACTATTTTTTTCTTCTTTTCTCTCGTCGTGACGCGCACAGAGAGCACATAGAAATGCATGTTGGTCGTCGCGACGACGTAAGCGTGCGATGTGGCTGGCGATGTAAATTTGATCACAAAAAGTGCGTAAAGCTTTGTAGCTGTCGTAGGCGTGGTCGTAGGATCTCATCGTAGCGTGCGAAAAACTTGCGATAATTTCGCTTCGTGAATACGGTACTTTTCTTACGTTTCGCTGTAAGATCGTTTTGTGAATAAGCTCTGTTACCTGTTGCGGACGATGAAGACAACACAGATGGGTCGTACAAATACGACTCTAGGCAGAATCGCTTCTCAGCCATCATGGCCTGGCGATGTAGCGGCATGGCGGCATCTTCGTCCTTATTAATGTCACCTACCCACCGCTCGCGTCGCGTTGGTCGGCGACCAGTCACTTGAAGCCGCTCCGCCGGCTCCGCAATATGCTACTACAGCCCTCGGGTACTTCGACTATGCGAGATTGTAACACGCTGACGCCATCAAATGGCAAGACTCATAACTACGGTACGCTTGGCCCTCCGAGGCATGATGACGTCAAGACCGCGCCGGATCTCCCGAGCTCCATCGCGCTCTTCGACGGCCGATTTTGAAGCGCTGGCCGAAATCCAGGCATTTAGAACGAAAAATACAGCCATCCGCTTGAAATATGACCATGCGATTATCAATTACAGGTTTATCTGATTCCATTTGACTTGTCTCTAAGTGTTTTCTGTATATTTTAAGTTTCGATTCAGTATCCCTTTAAGTTGCTCCAGCGCGAGTTCATACTTAAATACTTGACTGGCCATTTTAGCGCCTATTTCTTCTCAGCGCGTACAAAAATACTCTTACGATATCATTTGAATGGTTAATACTCTACACCTGCAATGAATCTGATTCCTTTTAACGACATTAATACGTGCGCATGAAAAAAAACAAAAAAACAAAAAAAGAAAACGTAAAAAAAGAAAACTTCAAAAGCGCTTTTAATTCCGTCAGCAGAATTCCCTCTAAAGTAAACTTGCGCTCAAACA